ACACACACACACACACACACACACACACACACACACACACACACACACACACACACAAAAATATCCGACGACCCAAACTAACCAAAAACGACGACCCCGCCTGCTGCTGCTCGCGTCCAGGTCCTCGACATGAGCCTCCGACATGAGGTAGACATGAGCGAGATGAGGCGCGACATGCTGGACCAGGTGATCCTCACGAAGGACACTCACGGAGGATCCAGCGACTACTCTAGCGACTTCACTTCGTCGTCGCCTTCGTCAGTGGGCAGCAAGAGCCCCTTCGATGACGAGGCCACGTCGGAGGGGTCGGAGGGGGAGGCCAGGAAGGTAAGAGAGGGAGGGGGGAGGGGGGGGAGGAGGTGGAGGGAGGGGGAAGGAGAGAGGAGGGAGGGAGGGATAGGGTGGAGGAGGGAGGAGGGGGAGGCCAGGAGGTAAGAGAGGGAGGGGGGAGGGGGAGTAGGAGGGGAGACCAGGAAGGTATGAGAGGGAGACCAGGAAGAGAGGGAGGGGGGAGGGGGAGGATAGGGTGGAGGAGGGAGGAGGGGGAGGCCAGGAAGGTAAGAGAGGGAGGGGAGGGGGGAGTAGAGGGGAGACCAGGAAGGTATGAGGGAGGTGGAGGGGGAGGAGGGGGAGGGATAGGGTGGAGGTGAGGAGGGAGGGGAAGGCCTGGAAGGTAAGAGAGGGAGGGGGGAGGGGGAGGAGAGGAAGGTAAGAGAGGGAGGGGAGGGGAAGGGAGGGAGGGGGAGGCCAGGAAGATAAGAGAGGGAGGGAAAGGGGAAGGAGGTGGAGGGATATGAGGGGGAAATGAGGAAGGAGGATAGGATGGAGGAGGGGGAGAAAAGAAGGGAGTGGAAGGGATGAGGAGGAGGAAGGTAAAAGAGGAAAGAGGGATAGGGTGGAGGAGAGTAAGGAGAGGGAGTGAGAGAGGGAGGTGGAAGGAGGGAGGAGGAGGAGGAAGGTAGGAGGGAAGGGAGGGATCGGAAGGATGAGGAAGGAAGGACGAAGAAGTAAGAGTGGAAGAGGAAGGTAAGTCAGGAAGGGTGAAGGGAGGAGGAGGCCATAAAGGTAAGACAGGAAAGATGAGGGAGAAAAGGAGGATGAAGGAATGATGAGGAAGGTAGGATAGGAAGGGAGAGGGAGAAGGAGAAAAGGAGGAAGGTGGGAGGGGTCAGAGGGGAAACCAGGAAGGTAAGATTGGAATGGGGAGGGATGGGGAGAAGAAGAAAGGAAAGAAGGGAAGGAGGAGAAGAAGAGAGAGAGAGTGAGGAGAATGGGAGAGAGTAGAAAGAGGGAAAGAGAGAGAGAGAAAGAGGAAGACAGATAGAGGAAGAAAGGGGGAAAAAGAAAAGGAAATAGGAACAGTAAGGAAATTTCTATTTAAAAAAGTACACAAAAACCGAAACAAGAAAAAATTGCTAAAATGAGCAAAACCTAAAATCAGAAAAAGTCATGATAACAGATTACAAAAAAGAAAAAAGAAAAAAAAATCTACAAGATAAAAAAAGAATCAAAATGACCCCTCCCCCCACAAAAAAATACACAAGAAATCGTAGCAATCGGGGGAGGGGGGACAAGAGAAAAATCATAGAGAGAAAAAAAAAATACTTTTTTCTACCCTACACCCCCATTCCTCAGCTGACCTCGCCTGCCCTTTGACCTCTGACCTTCCTTGCGTTTGTAACACCTCTTTGATTTTATTTTTTAAATTAATTTACTGCATTTATAGTCCCTTTTCTTTTTCTTTTTTCACATATCATCTGAGGCTGTAGATGATAATGAGGATAATTATGATTAAAATGATTAAGAGTTGCCACTTTTGCAATAATTGGAGTAGTTTCAAATAATTCTCAAGGAAATTATTGTATAAACATCAAAATTGCGATGATGATGATAATGATAATGATTAAAACCGAGAACACTTATCGTGATGATGATGATGATAGTGAGAGTAAGGATGATAGTACTATTAACAGTAATGATAATGATAATTATAATGATAATGACAGTGATAACGATAATGGTAATAATGATAGTGATAATAATGACGATAATGAATGCAGTAATAAAAATATAAATGTAATAAATTTATTAGTAATGATGATAATAATGGTAACAGTAATAATGATGATGATACTATAATAATAATTAATTATTATTATATAAGTAATGGTAATGATAATATAATTTATGATGATGTTGATAAGATAATGATGACAGCAGTAATAGCAATAATAATCATGATGATTATGATGACTGATGACGATGCTAATAAATTAATGATGATAATAACAAAAATTATAACAGTAATGACAACAATGATTATGATCATAGTAACAGTAATGATATTGATAATAAAGATAATGATGATGATGATAATAATAATGATAACAATAATAATGACGATAATGATAATTCCGATTATAATCATAATTATATTCATACTAATATATAAATAATAATGATAGTTATTACAATAATGCTAAGAATAATGAAGATAACGATAGTGATAATTAATAATGTTAAAATGATAATAATAGTAACATATGATAACTACAGCCACAACTGATAACAATTACGATAAGTAATGGCGATAGGAAACAGCATAAACAACACGAATGATAACATTAATAGTGGTAGCAATAGCGATAGTATTAGTAGAAGCAGCATGGTTAAGGGAATATAAACCTTAGTAATTATAGTGAAGGATTTAGAAAGTAGATTATTACTTTCACCATGCTACTTCTACTACTACTGCCAGGCTATCTACTTAGTTTCTATCTTTCTTCGTCTGTATGTTGCTTCTCCTTCCTCCAAACACGTGACAGCTGCGATGAAAAATACTGTAAGAGTTTGTAGTCTGAAAAAAAGGCGTATTTAGTCTCCCCCACAGCCACCCACGCCCCCCAGCAACCATCCCCCACTCACCTCTCCTCCAACCTTCACCTTCACCTGTGCATCTCGCTTTTAACAGTCCTTGCTTATCACTTTCGGCAGCAGCAAATCACATCTCCTGCCTGGTTCTTTTCTGCTTCTTTCTTTTCGTTCTTTCTTTCTTTCTTTCCTTCTTTCTTTCTTTCTTTTTTCTTTCTTTCTTTCTTTCTTTCTTTCTTTCTCTTTCTCTTTCTCTCTCTCTCTCTCTCTCTCTCTCTCTCTCTCTCTCTCTCTCTCTCTCTCTTCTCTCTCTCTCTTCTCTCTTCTCTCTCTCTTTCTCTCTCTTTCTCCCTCTCTCCTTTCCTTTCCCCTATGCCTGCTTCTATCCTCCCTCCCCCTTTCTGTCTCTATCCATCTTCTTTCGGTGTGTGGACAGGTCCGGCCGTCCACCATGCGGCTGCCCCGCCCCTCCCGCCACATCGCCGTGCCGGTCATCACGGCCCAGAACTCACGCCCCTCCAAGAAGACTTCCAATCTCAGAAGCTTCCTGCCGAGGGGACGTCGAAGGCAGCTCGAAGACGTGTTCACGGGGCCGAAGGATAAAGTAAAGGTGAGAGGTTTAGGGTTAAGCAAGGGTAAAAAAAAAAGGAGATGATGTGGGGGGGTTGATGTCTCCTTCAGGATGTCCCCTCCAGGATGTCATCTCCGGAATGTATTCTTCTTTGAGGATTCTTCCAGTCCTGTGTGGAGTACGGGACACTCGCACCGTATCTTTGCTTCGCCCTACCTCACCTTTAACGTGACTGAGGATCTTTTAAATCCCGCAAAGTATGGCCTCGTTTTAAACGTGTTTCCTGTACACGTTCATGTCATATATTCCGGGCGTTCTTCCTCTAGCGTTTGTTTATGATTCGCGTTCATTCTGAGTTGATTATTCCATCTCTAATTCAAATTTTTTTTTTTTATCGTAATTGTTGATACTGAAGACACGACATTTTGGAACCTGTCTCGATGGCTGGAATTAGACGTTTTACCCACGTTTCTTCCTTTCCCGCCTTCTCGTGTCTATCTCTTTTTAACGTCTTCTCTCTTTATCCTTCCTTAACCCTGGCTTTCTCTTGCAGCCGCTTCATAGCCTTAGGGAGTTTGCCGCGAGGGACGTTCGGTGTGTGCTGCATGGGCCTCGTGAATCACGCTTTTCTCCCTTCCTTTGGTTTCTGGGCTTCCGGGCAGTTGCATCCTCTGTGCTTTTCCTTCCATTGCTTCTTCTCAAACAGATCAGCCATGATTTTGCTTCAGCCGACTAGCCTCGGGCAGTTGGCAGTGCATCTGACTGGATATGGTTTTCTTTTGGAATACCTCGTCGGTCCCTGAGGGCGACGAGGGCGACGTCGGCGCCTGTCTCACGCGCTCCCCTCGCCCCGCAGATCCCCGAACCGTGCCTGACGTGCGGGAAGGAGCAGAACCCGGAGCGGTTCCACAGCCACCCGCTCGACATCATGAAGTTCAAGCCGAAGACGGAGGAGCGCGCCAAGGCCAGGGCGCTGAGCAAGCTGATCGTGACCAAGCCCACGGCACTCAAGTACAAAAGTCGAAGCGTCGACGTGGAGAACAAGGCTCCGGGCGGGCGGCGGAGCAAGCTGAAGCCGCCCTCGACGGCCACCAAGAAATCCCGCAGCGTGGACAGCTCGCCCGTCCCCGCCAAGAAGGGCCAGAGCGCGATCCCGCTCAAGAAGTTCATCAGTGAACAAAAGGCTTCCATGAACAAAGGCAAAGACTTCACCGTCGAAATCTTCGACGCGCAAACTTCGCCGCGGAGCGAGGGCAGCTCCAGCCCGCCGGCGCCGCAGAGGAAGACGTCCAGACAGAACGGGGAGAGCAAGAAGGGGGCGCCACCTCACCCTCGACACATGGGCAAGATCGAGGAGGAGCGTGAGAGCCGACCCGAGGAGACCACGAAGACCCGGAGAGCCGAGAATGGAAGCCGGGGGTCCGAGGGCGGGCCCCGCGGGGGGCAGAGGGCCACCGGGACGGCGCCCACCCGCGTCTGCTACATCTGCGGGCGCGAGTTCGGGAGTCGGTCCTTGGCCATCCACCAGCCGCAGTGCCTCGAGGTAAGGACCGTGGTC